GACCACTTTTAGTAGGTGTGGCTGCTCACTTCTGACTGTAATGCCAGCATTCCAGATGCTGAGACAGAAGGATCACAAGTCTGAGCCCAGCCTGTAAGACCCTGTCTCAAAGCAAAACAAAATAACAACAACAAAAACCTCAACAAAAATGAATGCTATAGTTTAATTATAAAAAAGGGCCCCATTTGTGCAGTGTTTGAACATGTGGTTCCCCAGCTGCTGGCCCTGTCTTGTAAGGCTGTGGGACCTTTGGACAGGAGCTGTTCTTGGCAGATGCTGGGCCAGTGGGAGAGAGGTTTCAGTGCCATAGACTAGCTCTGCTTCTGGTCCAAGCGCTCCATTTCCTGATCTTTTGAGACAGGAGAAGTCTCAATCCCACCACCATGGACAGAGTCCTGGCCTCTGAACCTTTCACAGTAAAATGGTGAAGCAGACAGACCTTCCTACCTTAAGTTGCCTCTAGTCAGGAATTTGAGAAAAGTGGTAGCATAAGTAACGCAAAACACCAGGTCTTAACAACAGCAAAGAGGTGTATAGAGTCAAAGGGAGAGGGGGTTCTACACCGTCAGGAATTCTGAGTTCCTCAGGGTTTGGATCTGAGAGATTAAATACTTAAAAAAGAGAATTCCTGCCAGTACACTCAAGAAACTAAAAGAAAAATGCAAAGGGCCACAGGGAGACGTGAGTGTGATGGAGCAACAGAATTGCTAAGAACAGAAATAACTGACTTGGAAGACCATTGACTAAAATTAGCCCTCCCCCTCCACTGCACCTGTAAGAATATGATAGCATATGTAAGGGTGGGGTAGGAGGAAGAATAAGTGTACTTGAGGGTAGAAATATGAATGGGGCTGGTGGAGCAGGCCTGTAATCCCCAGGTACTCAGCTACAACCAACTGAAGGAAAAGGAACAGACTGGTGGAGATATGGGAAACAGTGGCAAGCATTTCTGTCAATATGCTTGCAATGCAAGCCCCAGGCAGATGGAGATGGACAGACAGGAGCAGAAGACTGGAACTTTCTAATTGATGGAAAGTATTGTTTTTCACATGTAATAAACCAAAGGAGAATGGAGAGAGAGAGAGAGAGAGAGAGAGAGAGAGAGAGAGAGAGAGAGAGAGAGAGAGCTGCATTCTAGCACAGAGATGGATATGGTCAGATGGACAGATGGACAGTGCCAAGGTTGATGATATGGGAAAAAGAGATGACCAAATTTGCAATGAAACTGTTAAAAATAAAAAAGGCTTGAAAGTAACAGGAACAAATGGCCTGGTGTCATGGAGGAGTGCAGGTGACCACGTCTCTCAATAATGAAAGCTAGAAGTAGAAGGAAATATTCAGAGTGCTAGAAGAAAAATGAAAACTGTTCATCAATGCTGACCTACGTGAATGCCAACTTTCAAAAATGGGAAAGGCAAAATGGCAGCCTCCCCTGAGGTACAGAGAGAAATCCTTACTAGCAGAGCTGTGTTAGAGGAAACACCGAAAGAAGTGTCCACTAGCAGGACGGCAGCCCTGGAAGAACCGAGGAAGACCAGAGATGACAGAAACAAGGGTTCATGGAAATATTCTTCAGACATATGTTTCTGTTATATATCATTTTATTTTTAATCTATTTTAACTGATACACCAAAATTCTACATGTTAAAAGATACTAGTGACTTTCCATAGTCAGATTAAGTTGCAATCTTATCGTACCACTAATGTGTGACTTTGGGGATAATACTCCTGTGGGAATTCAAGGAAAAACATAGTCAAATCTACATTATTTGCCTACAGTAGTGAGACCTAGTCACATGTTCTCTGTAAGAGAGCCATCGCAGCTCCAAGTCACAAACAGAAAGGAAAGAGACAGAAAAAGACGGTTGAAACAAAGCTGTTAAGACAGCTGGAACTGGTCACGTCACTCTACAATCAAACAGTTGCCACAATAGGAGAGGAACACTATGACAGGGCTATTCACAGGGACTAAGACACGAACACATCAGCAAGCTGCTATGTTTGATCCAAAGAGACCCCAGACCAGTGGTCCTCAAGCCACCTAACACTGGGACCCTTTAATACAGTTCCTCATGCTGTGGTGACCTCAACCATAAAATTACTTTGTTGCTACTTAATAACTGTAATTTTGCTATTGTTATGAATTACAACTCAAATATCTGATATTCAGGATATCTGATATGTGACCCCTATGAAAGGGTCATTTGACCCCAAAGGGGTCACGACCCACAGGTTGAGGACCACTGCCCCAAAGGCTTAAAGAACAAGAGACTTGGTTCCCAGCCTGTGCTGCTACTGGGTCTTAAAGAGGTGGGCATTTAGTGGGAAGAGGTTGGGTCACTGGGGGCATGTTCAAAGGAGACAGTGGGTGTCTTCCTTCTGTCTTTATTTCCTGGCTGCAGTGGGTGAATAGCCAGCCCTCTGGCACAAATTCCTGGAAAGGTACTATGCTGCCAAGGACCCAAAGCAAAGAACAAGTGACTATGACCTTCTCTTTTAGTAAACTGATTCAAAAACTTAGTTTTAAAAGTTTTAGCAACAAAAATTATTTTGTTCTATTTTATAACCGTAATGAATCGTAATGTCAATATCTGATATGCAGGATGTCTGATATGTGACTCCTAAAGGGGTTATGACCCACAGGCTGAGAACCATTGGGCTAGCATCACCAGAAAGCAGGAACCTCAACTGAAGAATTACCTAGATCAGATTGCCCTTGGCCATATCTGGGAGAGACTGACGTGGTTGATGATTGATGCTGAAAGGCCAAGCCATCTGTGGGTAGCGCTTGGAAAGTTGGTCCTGGGTTGTGTAAGAAAGCTCACTAAACATGAGGCAGAGAATGAGCCAGTAAGTGGCCTTCCTCCATGGTTTCTGCTTCAGCTACTGGCCTGAGTTCCCTCGGGGATGAACTATGACCTCAAAGTGTGAGCCAAATAAATCCTTTCCTTCCCAAGTTGATTTTGTCTTGGACAATGACATTTATGTCAACTCGACACAAGCTAGAGTCATATAAAAGGAGGACATCTCAACTGGGAAAATGCTTCCACAAGATCCAGCTGTAGGGCATTCTCCTAATTAGTGGTTGATGTCAGAGGTCCATTGTGGGTGGTGCCATCCCTGGGCTAATGATCCTGGGTTCTATAAGAAAGTAGGCTGAGCAAGCCATGATGAGCAAGCCAGGAAGCACATTCCTCATGGTCCCTGCTTCAGTTCCTGCCTCTAGGAGTTCCTGTCCTGACTTCCTTTGATGATGAACAGTGATATGGAAGTGTAAGCTTTAAGCCCGTTCCTCCCCAGTTTGCTTTTGGTCATGGTGTTTCATCACAGCAATAGTAACCCTAACTAGGACAGACAAAGAAAGGGGATTGCCTCCCAACTCACTCTTTGAAGCTGCTGTTCTTCTGATGTCAAAGACAGACAAAGGATTATACAAATTAGGACTGCAACCTACCATTCCTCATGAACACACACAACAGTTCTGCGTAGAAGAAATGCCAGCAAAGTAAATTCTGGTAAGGTGTAGAAACGTAAGCCATTACTACCTGAGAGATGTGGTCCCCCTTGTATGTCTGTTCATCTGTTAACATCAATAGAATCCAGGACCTACACCATGTGACCCTTCTACAAGGCACAAAGGCATCTGACAGAAACAAGTAGCAATGGCTTCTTACTACAAGGGAGGATCCAGCAGGTCCTCTGGCAGAATGGTGCATGAAGTGATGGGCGTGAGGTCCAGCAGAGGGATTTAATCCCCAAGAACTGTATATTTGCCCCCAATCTCTGTAAGCATCAGTCAATAGTAAACTTATGTTCCTTAATAATATTCTCCAGGTGTGATGGCTAATCTTGGCTGTAAGCTTGACTATATCTGGAATCAACTAAAACCAAAGCAACTGTCTGTGAGTTCTCTGAACTGGATAATTTGAGGTTAGAATAACCACCCTACATCTGGGCCATACCTTCTGGTGGCAATCCACCTGAAAGGGCATGGAAGAAGCAAGCTGCTGCTTTTTGCCTGCCTGCCCTAACTCTCTCTGACAAGTTTACCCATCCTCAGAGGTATCTCAGAGTATTCTAATACCTTGCTGGGTTTAGAACCCACTTCTTTGGGATTTTGAAATAAACCAGCTGATACTCTTAGACTGAACAACTACCAGAACCTTGGTGTTTCTGCTGGGAGACAGGCAGACTAGCCAAACCACGGGCTGTAAGCTCCTCTAACAAATAACTCTCTCTCTCTCTCTCTCTCTCTCTCTCTCTCTCTCTCTCTGTGTGTGTGTGTGTGTGTGTGTGTGTGTGTTATTAGTTCTATTCCTGTAAAGAACCCCAACTAAACTGAGAGAGAGAGAGACAGAGAGAGAGACAGAGAGACAGAGAGAAGGAGG